CAAAAAGATCAATCGTTTTATGGGCATATCGCCGGTTCGTTACGTACCGGTTGCGATAATATGATGGAGCTTAAATTATTTAAAAAGAAGGCTTAAATTTTTCTCCAGTGTTGTTAAGTATCTCGAAAATAACTTTCAGTTTAATAACAATAAATTTCAATATTCGAATGGCTTTTGCCTATAACTTATATCGCCTTTTTCTCAATTTACTGACTCTGTAAAAGAGTTTTGCATAAAAGACATAGAGTTAGATACTCTTTTTAGCAAATTCTTAGTCTTTCACAGTTTTTGCTTAGTCGAAAAATTATTCAAGCCATGGGCAAATATAGATGAACTCCTTAAAAAGTGGTACTTTTTTACAGTATGAGAGGATCTTAAGAATAAAGTTGCTTTCCTGGCGCAAAGAAAGAAACCGGCTTCTAATTAAAATTTTTGAAAGTGAACTTTAAATTAAAAGTATTTTTAAAATGAAATGTATGGAATTCTTTGGCTATTTAAACACTGAACATGGGAATGATCTCATTATTGCTATTCAAAAAGTCACAAATATAAAATAATTTATTGGCTCCTGTGTACGATGATGTGTGCACTCATGTTAAAATGAATAGTATTTCCATATTTTATGAACTATTAGTGAAGCCGTATGGCGTTTTTATTTAAAATATGTTTTTTTTATGTTTTTACTTTTTTTAGTAGTTTACATACAGTAATTTAAAATAATTTTTTTACCAAAGGTCCAATTTCGAACTTCGAATGGAGAAATTACTTACCTATGACGAAATCTCTTAAAAAAAATTGGTTTGGTCCGATACCCAGAAAAAAAGTTGATTTTGCCGTACAGTGTTATTGCTATTCAAAAAGTCACAAGTATAAAATAATTTATTGGCTCCTGTGTACGATGATGTGTGCACTTATGTTAAAATGAATAATACTTTTATTTGTTATGAACTATATTTTATTTTTGTACCAAAATATTGTTAAAAACAAGAACTCAGGCGTTTTAAATTATTTTCTGTTGCTTACATTCATAATTTTGCTTTGAATAAAAATGTACTGAAAAGTACTGATTTTTTTAGCATGAAAAATTCTAATGTACTGATTTCGCGCATAAAAAATCTGGCAACCCTACATGAAAAACAGTAAAACTGTAGGTCCCCTCCCCTTTGTGTGACAACATCAAGGCGCACGCCACAAATCGGGGGAGAAGCCCGGCCAAACACAAACATATTATGTGTAAGCACCTACATATCTATTGTTAGTATTATGATTATTATTTTTTATATAGGAGCCCCACCAACATCGTTCTTAAATCACATAAATAAGTTGTTTGCCAAAAGTCCACAGTTATTTTCATATATGTATGTATGCAGATACAAATGTATACATATGTATGTTAGAAAATATTGTTCTATTGAATCAATCAATGTGCTCCACAAATGGCATTTACACTCTTAATAAGCTTAGACGCATATCGCGTTAAAGCGAGATGCGCTTTAAATTTAGCATTTTTAAGGACCAGCGGCATGCCAATGACCTCGCATTTTCACTAGCTTTGGGTTGCTGCATCAATAAAAATAGCTTTCTACAACTGAGATTGAACTCAAATTCTACGTTCACAGCCGTAACCTTTCCATAATGCTGGGCGTGCATATGACTGTGCGTGTGCGGTTAGATCAAATTCTTTTGATTTGATGCGGTGTTGGCGGGGCCTATTATTTCCGGTACACTGTCTTAATGGCGCCAGCAACTGCGGGCTACTTTCAAATGTGCCGACATGCTTCCAAATAGCATCATTGACTATTCCTTATGTATTTAATGAATCAAATGTACATACATACTTATATACATACATACATGCCTATATATGAACATACATACATACAAACAGGCATATATTATACCCATTAATACGATGACTTAAACATTTTACTCAACATTCAGAAGCGCACCTTAATTGTACATACATAAGTATTATGATGAATAATGATACACATGTATGTACATATATAAATGTATGTACCCAGGGGGAAATGGAATGTATGGTAGTCGAAAAAATTATCAGTAAAACAGCCGTCTCACAATCGAAAATGCATTTTTGCCCACGGCGATGTCTTAAAAAATTAGGGCATTCAATTTTGCATTTCCTAGTAAATAATCGAGGAATGTTTGCGATTCTATATAATAAAATGGCTTTTTGGAAACATTCGAATGCTGATTATATGTATATTATGCAGTAATGGAATCTAAAACTCATAACAAATGCATTACATTATTTTAACCATGGAACGGATTTTTAGGACCTAACAACCCATAAAGAAGGCCAAATAAAATAGCTAAAAAGGCAGAAAAAAGCACTAGAAAAAGCTATGAAATAGTTTCATTGTAAGAAAAAGGTGTACTTAGAATCGTTAACTATTTTCTTCTTTCGAGTATTTAGCTCACAAAACTTTAATCTCTATAGTTGTAGTAACACTGAACCAGATGCATTTTGAAGTTTTCTGGCAACATTTTCATTCGATTTTTGCGAAGAAAAGCCTTGAATGTACTAAACGTGCGCTCGACGTGAGTTGATACAAGTGGCGCCCAATTTAAATATATAACGTTTAAAACTTATTCCTGACAAGGGCTTTTTCGTTGCCCTTTATAATTAAAGGTGGAAGAGACAAATATCTTAAAAAACGCAACATCAAATGTGTATATATGGAATCAGGGAAAGCTAAATCGTGGACATTCTTAATCGAATATACTCCATCCCATAAGCAGAAAAAAGGCAATTTCCATAAAATCAGTTCCCTGTTTATAACGCATGTAATGCATTTCGTACTACTTTTCCTACTGGGGAGGTGCTCTATGCTTCTGTATTTGTCGAAAACGTTTCGAAGCAAACAAAAGACCTTTCCTCCTCCTCCTTAATTATTTTTTAAATTTAACGTGTCGTTTTTTATTTATTGTTTACTCGTGTTAAATACTTTTTCACTATTATTCGGGATTAGTTTACGGACAGTGCTTACGATGCTAGGACTAATTGGCCATTAAGAGGTACTGTACAGAAATGAAACACTTCAGAATAGCGCCGTCAGAATAACTATACTTTGCGTACGCGCCGCTCAAGGATCCGTATAGGTAAGGTGGGCACCATATTGTGTAACGTTACCAGTGCCCATATTTTATGTTAAAAAACCTAAATTATAGAACAATTGGGTAAACAGCTTGTATTGGAAGCAGCTTGTCCTTCTGTATTCATTGCATATGAGATATTAAAAAAACTATATAAAACAATATTCGTTTACCCAGTTCGCATGAATTTCAAACTTACTGGCATGACCCAGCATTGAATTACCAAATAGTGTAACGTGGCCAGTGCACATTCGATACCAAAAAAACTATTTAAAGCTTTTCTGTTTTTAATTGACAATTGAGGGATATTGTAAAAAATTGCGTATAAATGTAACGATACCGGTCAAATAATCGACCATCTGCGTTTAATTAAATGAACTGTATGGAATATTAAATAATTAAACTAAATAACCACATAAATACACAGGCCAAAAGTGAAATAATATCAATTGACATTAAGTAAACTGTCGAATTTATTCACCCTCTAAAAGTGAAGTATTTAGTGTTATAAAAATAAATTTTGTTATTTAGACTTAAATTCACAAAATTAAAGTGTGTTAATATCGTCGAAAATACTACTAACCATCCAAACCTACAGAAAACCTAAGACGTTAATACGCCTTTTAATAGCAACAATAATAGCATTTATTAATTCATTTACATAAAGTATAAAAATTACAAGCAAATACTTCAACCAACAAATAGTGCATTTATAAATATCAAATTCCATTATGTTTAAAATATGCGCATATGTCATAAAATACATAAACACATTTTAACGAAATATGTAAAAAGCGGATTTAGTCAATAATTGAAGGGTGGGCGTGCGCGAACGTCGCGACAGGACTCAGGGTAGCCCGCCGCGCGAACGCCGACCGCCTTGGTGTTATGCACTTTTAAAGCTATATATGTACTATGTTCATATTTATTGTTTGTTATATATATTATTACATAAAACTACCAGCTACAGTAGTAAATCTTGAGGAGTAACAGCGATTTTTCCATACATCGAAAGAATAAACATCGATGCTAAAATACATCGGCAGAAAAATATCGATACATCGATGGTTTCCGATGTTTTACAGTAAGCTAAACTCTAGTGCAGTTAAGAGAAATTTAATCTTTTTCAATCCCAAGCAATGCAGTATTTTGTAATACAATTAGAGAAATGCATACATACATATGAATACATTTCCCAGTATTTATTTAACCCTGCTATAGCTTTCCTATAAATACGAATACATATCGTCACTAAACACGAATAAAGTGCGCTAGTGTTTTGACGGCGATAAAAGACGCATAACACAAATTTTACGAAAAAAGACACTTAAGGAAAACTTCGACGAGGAAAGACGCGTAAACTTAGATTTATACCTGGCCAAGGACTGTCACTTCAGCATCGTTCCCTAAAAACTGTTTGGGGAATTTAGATACTGTTACACCGCGAACAAAGTCGACCGCGAAAATAAGTTTACGGGTCTTTCTTCGGCGTCAACTATGTTATGTCTTTCTTCGCTGAAATTTTTTGTATGTGTCTATCGTTAAGTCGCTGTGTCCCTAATTTACAAGGCTTTATTTCATTAAAATTATGAATAATAAAAAAATTTTGAATTAAAAATTAAGCAATTGGTTTTTCTTAAAATTTCAGATCTTTTACTTGATTTATTCAAACAAATTAAAGTAAAAGATCTGGAGTTTTAAGAAAAAGCAATTGCTTAGTTTATATTCATCTGGCCCAATTGGTAAGCTGAATCAAAATGAAGTCTGAGTCGCAGTACATTCGATGTTTCAAACATCGTTAAAATTGACACCGATGTATCGTCAATTTAGCGTTTTTAGAAAAACCATCGCTTGCAGCCCTCGCACTTGTAAAAAATTGTAATCAGTGTTGCCGCGACGTCATGAAAAAATTGTATCGTAAAAGATACAAAAAATGGATCAAATGTATCACAACGTTTCACTAATCACCTTAGCATCTTCAGGGGCGAATCTTTATTTAAATAACAACAAGAAACAGAACAATTTTATCGAAAAATAATAATGTACATACATACATACATACAGGAATACAAAGTTAAATGTTGGATAAACAAATGAAAATACGAACACAAAGAGACTATCAGAGGTATTGATTTTTCTTATGGCACTTACATATGGTTTACATTTAATTGACACTGAATATTTAGGAAAAAATTTAAATATTTATAACATTGAAAATTTACATTTAAACATTAAACGTTAAAAGCATTGATACCATCAATATGTGGTACTCTCGTCATACTAAACTTTAATTACAAGCATATCATATAAGCAGCCGCGATGTCATCAGTGTCCTCCTTCTTGTTAATTGTTTTTTCCCTTTTCTGTAGAATTCGCAGGCTGTCTTTTCCCTCCGTTCTTTGTCTAATATTTTGACGTTGGCTAGATCAGTTTTCCACGATAATTTTACAGAAGAGGCTAATGAATTGCGTGATAAACTTGACCTAAGAAGCCTATTAAAAGACTGTCAAAAATATTTACTCACCCTAATCGAAGAACTTTTGAAACGATTACCTCAATTAAATACCTCTAAAAAAGCTTTGGTTTTGTCACCAGAAAAGTGTGTGAATCACAAGAGGGCGAGTTTCAAAGACCTGCCATATTATTATCCATGCCGCGCTCACATGCTTTGTTGAGAGCGTTTTTTCCGTAATGACTTCAACAAAGACTAAGATTCGAAATTGGATTAGGTTGGAAAGCCTTAATTCAATAGATCGAATAAAGTGTTATATGAAGGCTAATAGTTTCTGCTGCAAAACGTTTCCAATATCAAACAATATGTTATCAAGGTTGAATAGCTCAATATATGACAACAACAGAAATGTAAATCATTCAGACACTATAGGTGACTTTGAAGAAATTGTGGAAATAGCTGATCTCTATTATAGGTTTTTATCTAATTTTTAGCGCCGAGCTCTTAAAGGCGGATTGTGTGCTTAATTAATTAATATGAGTTCTAATAAATTTAATAATTGCGCAGTCCTATTGCAAAATATGTTGAAACCAATATTGTTTGTACATCACTATTATATAAGTGATTTGTCTTATTTATTATTACCCTCTGAGGGTATTATATTCGTTTTTGGTTTTAAATACTATGTTATTACAAGATCTCATTTTTAAAATAAAAGATTTGTTAAATCGATTTCATGAATTTTATTTAAAAAAAAATTGGCGATTTTTGGCGATTTTTTTTCAGAAATTTCGCTCTGTTTTTAAACAATCTGGACACCCTGATCCGAAAGCAAATTTTATAAACACAAAAGTGGAAAATACCACAGAATTTTGAAAAAAGTTGTAGGTATTTTTAGCGCCGAGCTCTTAAAGGTGAATTGTGTGCTTAATTAATTAATATTAATTATTAATATTATTAATATTTTTGGCGGCAGTTAACTAGAGATTTTCAGTACAAAAATATGTAGTTAACTGCCGATTCTGTGTTAACTACGCATTGTGAAATTGGCCCTTAGAGTATGTCAATTAAAATTTATCAAAATATCTTACAAAATTGAAATGAAATCCCTACAAATACGGTCGGCAAATAATCTGGTTTAATGTGCGGATCAGTTCGGACGGTCAAATTGTTCGGCCGAAATCGGTCGGCCTATCAGATGCAATGTGTGCCTAGTGTTATACGTTTTACCAAAAATTTAAAATATACTGCACGCAGCTGTTTTCAGCAGCGGATATTTTAAATCTGGTACTTGTTGCCGGAATTCAAGCAATGGCAAAGATTTATGTTGCATTTCCCGGTGCTTTATCTTCTTTTAATTCAAAAAACTCCAGCTCTTCTTCGCATCGGGCTGAAAACATTATTGAGTGCAGAAACCGATTTATTTTATATAGAGTGCAGATGCCACTCACTTCACATTTGCTCAAGCTACGCTTGTAAAAAAATTGCCGAAAAGCATTGAGACACTGTGCTATGTTGCGGCTAGTTTCTTTTCCCAAAGTCCAAAGAGGATACATGAGCTGAAGGAATTTCAGGACTACTGTTCGGTAAAACCCCACAAAATCTTTGTGTTAAGAATAGTTGAACAATGGGATAGTTTGAAACCTTATTTTATTTTATGCTTTTACGAACTAAACGGTATGCCATCGGCAGACCTGGCCAAAGGAATGTGCTGCAAAACAAAATGCAATTTTTTATTTCTATCGTATATTTTGCCCATAGTTAACAATCTTAACAAAGAGTTCTAAGCGGAAAGCTCTCGTTTGCAATACTTACATGCAACTATCAAAGCACATTATCTCTTAATTTTGAGTAACCGTATTAAAATCGATGCGATCAGTAACAATACTAATATTTATTTTAAAAATTAAAATAATCATAACCAATATATTAAAGTTTTACATAGAGTTTTTGGACCAAATAAATTTAAGATTTGATTTCAAGCGTGAAGATATAAAACTTTTACAAATAATAACACCAGCTAAGGTAGTTCCAAAAGAAGATTAATCAATTTTACCTCATTTGTTAAAGTTTTGTTCGAAATATTAAATCTTAAATAAATGAACTGTATGCTTTCAGAATGCTTTTTTGTAATTGAAATTTATTTGGTAGGTTGTAAACGATTTTGGTCGGATTTGGGAAGAAAACTGGTAGGGGAAAAAAATTGTTAGTGGCACCGCTGGCAGTGTTCACTAAAATAGAGCAATTGATAGAAACTTCAATTTTATGTTGGTAGCTTTTAAACTTTTCAATGCCTAAGCTAGAAAAAACATGCAACAAATTCTTGAGGTAATATTCTTTTGATTTGGATCCTAAAAAAAAATATATATAGAAACATATTTGTTTTTGCTTATAACTACCAATTCGGCAAAAAAAATTAAAGTAGCAAACGATTTAAAATATACGCCGCGAGACGTAAGAAAAATCGTTTTTTCGACGTGGCCAATATAATGGGCAACAATGAAAGGGTTAATTCTATGCAAAGAAACACAACTTTTAGATAGGTCCTTTTTATTTAAGGTAACAATATGTGCATACATATCGTGTGTAGCAAATATGTAGTTAAAAACAAACGAATATACATACAAACAAAAAATAAATAACGGAAGTAAAACTTTATTTTTTAAGCAATACATGTGAATATTTACATTCGTAAGTACATACGTATGTATGTACGTAATGTTTAAATTAGATTTACGTACATACTATGTACGTATGCATGTACAATAGGGTGCTTTTTTCGGCGACTATATATATATATTTTTTTTTACTCCCACCTCGAAATTTGGTTGGAAATAACTCTCTGAAAATTTTATCCCTTAATACTAATATTAAGTGCTCGACAAGGCGTGCAAAGATGTCCCGTTCATAGGACACGTAAACTTTGATTGTTTTTCTTCAAAATTCTATAGCTCAGAGGCATTTAATTATGGTCAATGATGGTTTTTCTTCAGAATGGATTGCTGCATACAAATGCCCAATGCGGCGTAACTGAAACTCCCACCAGCGAGTTAGTACAGGTCACCAAACCCAATATTTTCATTGAATTCCCGGTTTTTCCCCCCTATCTCGTAAATAACAAGAGCTACGGCAATTCAATTTTCTACAAAAAGTTCTAAAATACTAAATCGCTTATATCGGTATTTCCTAAGATATTGGACTTTGAATTTGATCTATAATTTAGCTCAGTAATCAATGAAAATTCAAGACTACCTAAATTTCAAAGCCCAATATCACAAGAATAAGGATATAAGCAATCTGTAGCTCTTGTTATTTACGAGACAGGGGCAAAAAAAAAACGGGAATTTCATGAAAATATTGGGTTTGGTGACCCGTACTAGCTCGCTGGTGGGAGTTAGAGTTACGTAACAATGGACGCTTTTGTAGAGAATTTAATTCTGAAGAAAACCTATCATTACTGTGACCATATTTATGGCAGCCGAATACGGGACAAAAATAATTTTGCGTTTCTTTTCACAAAAACAAAAGGATTTTAAAACGCTTTTTCAATATTCCTAGATTTACTAGCCCTGAAGCAGCATCTTTATTTGGCATATATTTTTCGATTCGATTTTTTGTGAGAACAGCATATTTTTCCATAGCTTTGTACTTTGTGCTCGGGATTTTTATCCGCAAAACTTGTTACAAACATTCCTACGCAGGAAAACATGATACAAATACTACGACTACTTTTGAAACAGGAGTGGTATCCAACGGATTATTTTCAGACTCGGATTTCGGCCAAGCACAATGCAGTGAGTAGCCTCAGGAACGAGCTGAATTGCAAAGCGAACCTTCGAAGGGTTCCACTTCCTTCCATCTTTGAGAACTTCTTTACTTTTACAATATTTTCATTGTAGCTCTATTCGGAGTTTCTCATGCTGAAGATACAATGCCTCATACAATCAGCAAAATGTTTTTTGGCGTAGTTTCGCCTAATGAATATATTCTCCTTTCACAAAATTTTAAAATTGCCTCCACACCAGAGTACGAAAATAAACTGTACAAAACAATTCCCATTTGCTCATCGATCATCATATCATTTGTGGTTTTGTACATAGTCAGAAACAAATTGTAAGATTCACTGTCATTTTCCCCAACTAGAAACGTTTGCTTTTCGTTTGTGACAATTGTGCCATAGGATGATATCACAAACGTTTCAATTACGTGAAAAATATTTTTTCTGTAAATTTTCATATCCAATTCAATTAAAAAACATTTTTATTTTTTTATTCATTGTAGCTATTCGGTTTGTGTTTAGTTATTGCATATGTATACATACATCCATATATTTTTCTCTGCACGATTCATTTCGTTTGTTGTTTCGTCTGTAACTACTAAACTACTGTAGTGTACTATCGCCAAAGTGAACTCAGCCGTTTTGTTTTCGTATTGTACCGAACTGTTGAAGTAATAAACGAAATGAAATAGTAACGTACAATATAGTTTATTTTCGTACCCTGCTCCACACCACGGCACATTGGACAAGTAATTGAACCCGAAAAAAAACAGCAAGCTGTGCGCATTTCCTTATTGGTTTTGGAATTCATATACGTAAACAAAGTTTGAAATTTTGGAGAAAAATTTAAACAAAAATGACAATTTAAAGACGACATTCACGACAAAAGTAAAATCAGCGGCTCACCTGCTGCTACCTGTTAAATATGCTTTGCGCAACACAGAATATGTAACGTCAAGTGCGTTGAAGAAAAAAAACCTTTGAAAAGCTAAATACTAGTGAAACTTCTTTCAAAATTTGAACGACAATCATTAACGTCTAATTTCGATTCATACTCACAAATACGCATATTTTATACGCAAAATTATAACTTCAGAAACTATCTACATATTTGCTTCTCGATTCGAATCACAAGCGTCCAGATTTGAAAATAAAAACTGTTTCATAGGAGTGTTACTTATATGAGCTACTAAGGTGCCAAAATACCGAATACGGGACAAATACGGGACATCCAAAGACATACAGGACATTTGGCGTCCCGTATGAAATAAATAAGTTACTAGGACAATTAACGAAAAAACAGGACGGTCCCGTATAATACAGGACGGATGGTCACCGTACCCTTCATTGACCATTATTATACCATACAATTCCTCTGAGCTATAGAAGTTTGAAGAAAAACTATCAAAGCTTACGAGTATTTTGAACTGGAAATCTCTTCCTGCCTTGGTCGAGCATTTAATATTAATATTAAGGGCACAAAATTTCGAGGTGGGAGTAAAAAAAATTGTCGCCGAAAGAAAACAACCCTAATGTCATATAAGAATGAGGAGATATTTAATAAGGGAACTAGGTAACAATATCATGTGAAATTTTATTCATTTCAGTTTTGTATGAAATCAGAGCATTGTGGTATTTGCCAATCCAAGCAAAAGTGGGTAGGTAAGCTTTATGACCAATTAAAACATTTCCTCAATGCTTATTATTCCGCTGCCAATTTATTAATGCCTACTTCTCTTATCTTACGAACACAATGGGACATCCCAACCATCCAATGCAGTCTTTTTTCAATTATCTATGTATGCATTTATGTATGGATATGTATGTACATATGTATGTATGGCAAGTGTCGACATATATTGTTTTTATAAATTACTGCAAATATGTACTCGTACTTGCATGTGCATGTATGGGCATTTCCAAACTGGCGTTACGTGACACTCGTATGAAAAAATTAAAAAAAAGGATCAGTCCAGTGCCTTCGTCTTGAACTGTGGGCTGTGCCGGAGCCATGCCGCTAAATTTAAACGTAGAATACGTGATATTATTAAGATCACATTCAAGTAAAAAACGGTACATGAAATATTCGTTTTGAGTGTATTGAATTAAATTTAATAAATCAATATGAATTGCAAAATATTAATAATTAGCAGTAGAGAAGCAGATCCACATTAACTTCAATCATATGTACCATCAGCTTATAAATAGACATACATATGTTATGATGAGTATCAATACCTAACGAAACCATTTTTGGCAACCGATATATGTACATATATTATAAAATACAGCGAAATCGGTCCATACATAAGTTAGATATAGGACTTTTATTTTATTTTATTCGCTGTAGACTTTTCGTTAGAATTGTCCATGTACTCGTCGTTAGTCCAGTGTAATTAAGCATACACGTGTGTGTACATAAATATGTGAACTGTATAAATTATATCTAATACAAAGCGTAAATACACAAAGTAAAATGAGAGGTGCTCAATATTACACGGAACCGTGTTAGTTTGGAACTTAATTATATGTATTTGTATAAGCTACCCTGCAGGAAATCAATAAATATTTACAACAACAAATACATGCTATCGATTCCAAGTACTCAGTGTCTCATGGTGCAATGAAATAGGACGATGTCAGTACGTAATTTAGCATCACTAATGGACGAATACTTGCCAAATTTTACTAATTTTTTCATACAATTTCAATATAAATGAATAAGTGTTTGGTGTGCGTAGTGACGGGTTTACACCTAGGTATTTTCCCAACGCTGGGTATTTACCTACTAATACCCATTTTCGTACCCGGGTATTTACCTAATTTCGGGTAGATACTCATTGAATAAAACTTGCATATAAAACTCTAAAATTTTCATAAAAATTATGTGTAATAAAGTAGACCAGGAAATATACCGACTTCACTTGACGATTTTTACCAATAACTCGACTCCAGCGCCACCTTGCAGCTCTTTTTGTGCAATAGTTGATATTGCCCCTACCTTTAACAATATATTTATATCTCGAATATGAGCCAATTCGGACAATGAGATAAATCGGCCACGCTTACCTTGCCTTGTCCCATTCATCGCATTTCATGGATGGCGGTGATGTCAGTCTTTATTATCCCAAGGACAGCAACCAACCGGGCAGAGGCACCATGCCGATTAAAGGTCCGGATATTCCAGGTGCATATCCTCAAATTATAGTCCTTTCTACGTTTGCCGTGATCGTCATCAAATCATCGTATTGGCCAAAAGAATCTAAATAATGCCCAAGGACAAGATTGAAAAAATAGGAAGTCGCACAGCGAGAAAATGAATTAATTCCGATTGTAAGTTGCAATTTGGTACAAAAAAATAAATGAAGTATTAAAAAGAATAAAATTATTCCAAAAATCGCCTGAAGCGATAAGAAAAGGACTCATTCAGGTAATAAGAAAACGAATTTATTGCCGGTAATATTGCCATCGAATCGATTTCCTATTACCGGTCGCTCTAAAACGTCCGCCGAAGGCAACTCGCCTCGGCGAGTCGTTTTCTTATTACCTGAATGAGTCCTTTTCTTATCGCTTCAGGCGATTTTTGGAATAATTTTATTCTTTTTAATACTTCATTTATTTTTTTGTACCAAATTGCAACTTACAATCGGAATTAATTCATTTTCTCGCTGTGCGACTTCCTATTTTTTCAATCTTGTCCTTGGGCATTATTTAGATGCTTTTGGCCAATACTATTGACGCCATATTCATAAGTTTCGGAATTTTTGAGAACTTTTTTATTCAAAATTGACATGAACGAAGTGATGTTGCCGATTTGTCACCACAGCAATAAATCGGTGATTCGCCAATTTGTTGCCATTGACGATTGTTGCCTATTTCTCATGCTTTGCATGGTGGGTTGTTTATTATAAAGCAATAATTTTTATTGTAGTTTTTAGTTTGTTTGTATTCGTGATTATTTGTTTTATTATAGGACCTCAAGTTCACACAGAAAAGTGAAATAAATTCGCAGAGTTACCGTAAAATATGTATATCTGCTTCAAAAGCAGGTGGGACAAACCACCCGTGACAGAAAAAAGAACTCAGATTTTTTCCATTGTAATGTAAGCTGGAATTTTTTTCGTATTTTGTAATAACTTATATAATAGTTAATTAGGTGTAGCTTTATCAAAATGTAGAATTGTTGAGTACTTTATGCTTAAATTTAAACAAGAAGGAACATTTTTTCTGTACAAATGTCCCACCCGTGATGGTGGAATCGCCCATATGTAGTTATGTATGTATTTATATATATACAAGTTTCAAGTGCAAATATTGAAAAGTGTTGAGGTGTACGAGCTGATTGTAGTTAACCTCTTTTCATATTAAAAATAGTTTCCCAAAAAAATTATAAAGAAACTGCATCAAAATCGTTAAAATATGTCTTAAAGTCAAAAAATTGTAATTCCCCAAACTCGCTATCAATACCTTGAGCAGTGTTGTGATCGACTATGTGTGGAAACTGTTGCCAGACAAATGCAAAGAATCAATTTTTTTTTCAAACAACTTGTTGTTGATCCATAAAACCAAAATTTTGTAAAACCACATCGCTAGCTTTTAGAGAAAAGATGCTAAGTCCTCTTTTTATGAAAACTCATATTTTGATGCAGAAAAATTAAATATGCATTGCTTCAAAAGGGATAAAGGTAATTGTTTTATTTATTCTCGTTTATATTCAATGAACGGTAAATGTGCTAAGTCCAAAAGAAGCGCCGATAATGCCAAAATAGTGCGAAACCTTTTATTAATTAAAGATCGAATCCCTCTGATTATTATGGAGTTTTGCTTTGCCAAAATGTTGTATTCAAAGGTTTGCGAAATACTGGAAGAAATTAAGAAGTTGTTTTCCTCTCCTATTCAATTTTAAGAATGGGACGTTTCACTCTAAGCTAGCAAAAACAAAAAAAAAAAAAACAATTACTTAAGGACGGACAAATTAAAAAAAAAAAATGTTTATTAACTAGAAACAACAACCACATGGTCAAGTCTAAATAGTAGCTGAATAGTTGCTCTTGGTTGTAGTTTGGTCGACGTACATTATATTTCTTTCGGCAACTAATAATAACCAAATAAAAACCCCTAAGAATGTACTCCTACTAGCTGTTGCTGTATATGTAATTCAGTAGTTTATATATAAATATGTATGTGTGTACTATGACTTTTTTAGGTCCCAAAAATCCCGGGATTCTTGGCAAATAATTCCGGGATTTTCGGAATTTCTAATTTGCACTTTTGTTGACTGGTTTTGTCTATATTTCTTTTGTTTATATATAAATATAGTAAAATTTAAATATAGTTTAAATATAGTAAAATTTCGTTTTTTGTTTTTCATTCTGACATGAGTAATTCAAAAATGATTTAAAAAATTCAGAAAACCAATGGGTACGAAATTAAAGAGAAAATTCTGTAGAATTTAAACAGATTCAATTTTTTTGTGTAATAAGGACGGGTAAGTATTGAAAATGTCCGTTTAAAATTTTATCCTTGAATATCATTGAAATTTTGCAATATTTATTTTTGAAAAAATTATATTTTAAGAACTTATAGAAACTAGATAACATCCTCGAATCTCATCCTTCTACCTTTATCAGCTCAAAAAATTACCTATTCGTCCTTGTGCCCCCAAACATTTAAAGTTTTTGAATTCTAAATAAATTTCCTCTTTCATTTGGTTCCCATATTTTTATTCTACATTGCACTGATTTTTTTAAATAATTTTTGAAATTAATCATATTTTTAAAATTACACAGTCCTTCGCCAGAGAGAAAAACTAAACAAAAACAAACAAAAAAATAAGGACAAAACTGCTCGAAATAAGGCGTTTCTTTTATTTCTACCACCAGTATGTATACATATATGAAATTCTTTCAACCACAAAATACATTTGTTGACTTAAATTTTTTTGCATCGAGCTTTTTTCGACATACCTTAAGCTACTTTATCAGATTTGTATACGCAAAGTATTATTAAATACGTATGCATTTAACTAGTGTCTTTTGTTTTGTTACTTATGAAAAATTTTCACTTTAAATAAAAAGGCAGTTTTCAAACCCATTTATTTACTATTTATTTGAATGATTGGAAAGCTTCTCAAACAATATTGAAGCAATTTTTTCGACTTAAGTTATTGAAAAATAATAAATGTATTAATCCCGGGATCCCGGGATTGTGCTATCGAGAGCCCGAAAATTCTGGGATCGTAAAAAGCGAAAAAATTAACATTCCTGTTATGTACTGATCATACAAGGTCCACATGCGCCTCTGTACAATGACGAACGTGCGTCAGGCAACGCGGCGAAAGTTCGGCGTCAAGAAACAGCATTCACAACAGACAGCCGAGAAATTTCGCAATCGACTCTCAATCCTGCTTAAACAAGAAACCCTTCAGCGACCGGAAATAAATGAGCAATCACTTCGTGCCGCTGCAGAAGAGGTGGTGGAATACTTCCGCCCGCGCCGGAACAACTGGTATGACGAAGAGTGCCGCGCGGCTGCTGCAGAGAAATACGCAGCATACTAAGCCACCCTACAGCCAATAGCTACACGAACGACAGTGGAATGATACCGGGAAATGAGAAGGGAGGAGAGACGTCTATTCAAAAGAAAGAAAGGACAGGCCGAAAAACGTGAATTCAAAGAGCTTGAGATGCTGGTAGACAGAAATGCGGTTCGAAAATTCTATAAGAAAATAAGGGAGCAATCAAATCGTTTCAAGACCGGGGCTGGTTTCTGTAGAAACTCACGTTCCTCCACTTGAGCGAGACGAGGTAGGAGCAGCAATATGGCGGCTTAAAAACAACAAGGGCCCGGAGCCGACGGTATTCCGGTTGAGCTGTTCAAAGCCGGCGGCGAAGAACTCGTCGGGCGCATGTACCAGCTATTAAGCAGAATTTGGTTTGATGAATACATGCCCGAAGGTTAGAATCTCAGTGTACTTTGACCAATCCACAAGAAGGGAGATCCCGCCATTTGCGCTAATTATCGCGGAATAAGCATTCTTAATATGGCATACAAGGTCCTGTCGACTACGCTGTGTGAAAAACTTAAGCCCTTTACGAACCAACTGATTGGACCTTATCAGTGTGTCTTCAGACCTGGTAAGTACACGATTGACCAGATTAGCACAGCGCGTCAAATTCTGGAAGACATTAGATAAGCAAATCGACACACACCATCTTTTTGTCGATTTTAAAGCTGCTTTTGATAGCACGAAGAGAAGCTGCCTGTACAACGCTATGTCTAAATTTGGAATCCCCGCAAAACTAATACGGCTATGTAGAGTTACGTTGAGCACAACTTTCGGCTTCGTCCAAATTGGGAAGGACCTCCCCGCGCCGTTTTCGACCAAACAAGGTTTTAGACAAAGCGTTTCACTCTCATGCGATTTTTTCAATGTGATGCTGGAAAGCGTTATAAGAGCTGCTAATCTGAATCGCAGCGGCACCATATACAGCAAAAGTACGATGCTCCTGGCGTATGCAGATGATATTGACATCGTTGGCCTGACTCCCAGGGATATCAGCGCAGCATTTTGCAGCTTAGATAAAGAAGCTAACGAGGTTGGTCTGGCGGTAACGAGGACAAAACGATGTACCTCATAGCAACTCATAAAAGTCTTCGCGTATTGGGCACGCGTCTCCACTTCGAAGTAGTGAAGGACTTTGTTTACTTAGGGTCCAGCATAAACACATAAACAGACATAGTTAAGCGCATAAAAAATACAACGATTGCGCTGTGTACGCATGGATGACGATGCTCCGGTGAAAAGATCCTTCGACTCCGCGCCCATGGAGGACAACGAAAGTAAAAATCTATCTGCAAAGGAGAGAGGCAACTGGCGAAGTTCTTTTTTTGTTCTCGGCCCAAACCGACAAACGGTTGCAGCACCAAATAAGAAGAAGAAGTATGTACAGACAACTAAAGATTAATTATACAAATATATGTACATATGTACGTTTAATATTCAATACCGTATGAAAACAGTAGCCAACTGAAAAATATTGGCCCCTATGATGTGCACATGTGCGTATAATATAGTATACATATGTATGGGTGCACACTGTATACACCTATGCAAGTAAATATGCGGTAAAATAGGTACTACTACTTCATGAACTTATAGCTGCAGATATAGATAGATATGTATAAATATATATATATATATATATATGTATTTAAATGGCCTTAAGCCGAGAAGAGCCCATACAAGTTGAATCAGTGAAAACAAGTAGATTCAGTCCGCCTTCTTCATTCGGTGATTGTAACATTCGAAAATTTTGTAGGTAATAACAGTTAGTGGCTTCTTAACTTCTTGGTAAAACCACCCTCTACGCTTTTCAATTGTTGTACTTGCGGTTAGACAATTCTTTTGTGAAGCACTTTCAGTTTACCGAAGGTAGCAATTAGCTGCCAGGTATTAGATTACTAATTTAGGTGTTGAGTGTAACTATCTCTCCTTGGCGGCCGACGGGAGAAACCATTCTTCCACTCATCAAAGTTGAATGCCTGCGGTTTATACTTCATTGGCGATATGCAGGTGATGTGCGCCTAGTTGCCAAACTTGATTGTAGTTATCGGTATTAAATTATTAGTATTAAGTTATGCGGTTTGTAAAAAAATTTTAATATTTTAGCATTTTCCACTTGACATCACGAAAGAAGCCACAATAAAATAAAGTAGTAAAGCAAAAAACATACGTATAAGAAAGCGATATACTAAGCCCAATTATAGTCAAATATCTTTTATTTTTTTACAGATATTTTACAAATTTTACTCGTTAATAAGATGCCTCTCTACATGTTGGAAGCGTAGCTATGCCATTGGGAGTTCGAGGCAAATAATCACCCTTCACACTTGTTTCTCGCCGAACAACCAATATACATAACTGGTAAATAAAATGAATTTTAAACAAGACATATTTGAGCAAAAACACAGCCGACTTCAATTCTCATATTATACAAATATGAGTACCGTTAATTTCCTCATGATCCAATGATCGGATCTAAACCAACGGGGAGAGAGAAAGAATTATCGAAATCGGTTGACGTGGCAAAAAGTTATGCGGTAACATACATAAAAAACCATATTCCGACGAATGGATAACCTCCTCCTTTTCTGAA